AGTTTATAGTCGATATGTCGACTTTGAACTCGTCACCCGGTTTCCAAACAAAGGAAACAGAAAGTTTCAAAAAAGGAAAAGAGATTTTTAAATCGAATTCACTGGATTTTCGCCGCTCTCTTTAAAATCACGATTACTCTGATAGTGATGGCAAGGGTTTACTTGGCGGCATAATCAACGCTCGTGAGGAGTGCGCGGAGCACTCCTCTTTCACGTGGACCGTTTCTTCCGTTACAAAACGGTTCACTTGACATCGTTTCTCGGAGCGGGAACGATGTTATTCCATCCGAAAGAGTAAAGTGCTAACTAACTGACTTTTCAGAAACCGTGATCGAGTCACTCGTCGTCGAGACGTGTCCTCGAATTTAATCGCATCAAGAATTTCTTGCGCTTTGTGGCCCTCAGTTTACCGCGTCGCGATAATTAACGAGGCGAAAAAAAAATGAATGGATTATTTACGGAGTATACGACGTACATTATAGATAAAAAGTTTCGAATGTTTGAGCCAGAAGTGACATTTATTAGGTGTTGTTAATGATAAAGGACGTAGGTATATAATTACACGTAGCTAAAATGTATCTGTTCAGATTAGACTCATAGAATATTTATAGGGCAATCTGGGTGAAATTTGCATGACAATGTTATGAATAATTATGAATAATTGTGAAATTTTCAATGAGAAACTTGGAGCACATTATCATATAATCATTTACGAAAATTTATTCCAAGAGAAATTGCAATTAATAAACAATTTTTATTGCAAACTTAGTAACGTACGCGTGTGAAAAACAGCATAATCTTTTCTGTAAAACGGTCGAACAAGCAATTAATTCATGAAACTATACGCTCTGTATAGTATTAATTCACGAAACTATACGCTCTCTATAAATTATCACTTTCACCATATTTATAATTGCTCAATTGTGAAAATTCTTGAAAGAAGATTAGTGTTACCAAACTTTTTGTGGTGTTGATGCTCCTCAATTTCTTCAAAAATAACATTTCAGGAAAATGCGCGAGAAACAGAAAGAATTAAACCTTCTAATGAGACAAGGGGATTGTTAATTTTCTGATCTTCCGTGAAATCGGTTCTTTTCATTTTACCACGTGTTTTATTATAAACGAAATAATCTATCGTTATTTTACTGAACAATATTGCATCGCGTTGCCCTGTTTTATGGAGCAACAGATAAGAGTCACTGTTTCGATCCAAACATAATTAGCTTATCGTCGATGCCCACGCGAATATCTGGAAAAGAATTTTTCACGAACACGTTCTCTTATATAATCCCGTTGAAATTCAATTGAGACTTTACAGAACTTTTATTCGCGAAAGGTGAATTAAGACATGAGTCACATGTCATGTGACTCATTATCTCAAATGAAACAACGCAGAATTTGGACTTGATCAATTAAGATGTAACATTCTTTACATTTCCAATCGATAATAAAAGAGAAACTACAAGACAACCAAGGACTTCTTGCGTAATCGAACTTTTTATTACTGGTGAAATTTCGCCAGCGCTAATTAATTCTCTTGCACAATAGTGCACAGATTAGCTAAGCAATTGTAAAAAGTTTCTTTTGCAACAGAATTCTATAATTTTGTTAAGAGCTTCGTAATTTAAAGAGATGCTAGATATTAAAATTCAATAATACACTAATTAATATTAAAGATGTTATACGTAAATCTTTCATATCTTTAATTCGAGAGGAAGGCAATTAAGTTCCATTATAGAAATCTAAATCTATTAAAAATCTTTATAAACTGCGTTTATCGTTCTATTGAAATTCTGAAAATTTCTCACAGTCGATCAATATTCACGTTCCAGTGTCGGTAGCACTCTAGATTCGTCATGTTCGAAAATGTTTACGCATAAACGTGAATCAACAAATTTATTCGAATCTATGTTAGAGTAATGACTGATGAATGTTTTTCAGCAAGAAGATTGAATTGATACAAGCTTGATGAAGGAACAAATTCGTGATCAAGATCCCAGTCGAGCACACAGAGAGACTTCTTTTTATCCTTCCTTTCAGTAGACCTTCTTTTCAGTAAATGCGCTCGTTTTTCGGGTGAATGGTAGCCAGAATGATCGCATCGGGCCGGAAGGTTCCCGATAATTCGAAGAAGCATCAAACAGGCAAAGGCAAAGGAGGGCTACCATTTACATCGACAGATGAATCACGCGTCACGCTGGATAAAGCGAATGCATCGTACTGCGGGATGCTTGCAGTTGCAGGGATAAATCAGGGTATCGTGTCTCGGCGAATAAGTTCCAACGGGAATGCATTTGTATGGCGCGGTATGTCGCGACCTACAGATCTGTGACGAGAATATCCGGTTCGTCGACTCGGTACAAATGTCACACGTATCGTGTGAACGTGACGAGTGACTGACATTTTCGTTTATACTGTTAATTTCGGATAATTTCCGGAAAATTTTGGAATAAATATTTCATTCGAATCCTCCTTTCGTATCTAAAGATAAACTGGAAGCAACTATGGTTTGTTGGTTTTCTAAATTTTTTTTTTTAACTAATTTATTTATTCGAAATTTTACAAGTATATCATACTTTATGCTTTATAAGCAAAAGATCGAAGACTTAATCAATATTGTGACATAATTACCAATATTATATATAAGTCTTGGTCGTGAGTCACGACCAGGATATACTGAACCGTGGCAGACATTTACAGTTAATCATGATGACGAATTTATAGCGTCACAATGTCCACCATTATGTAATGGAGCTACGGCACGCATTCTAGTACTACATAAATTCCTTTGATCCCGTTCAAGTTACGCACGACTTAATAAGATCAAAAACCCGACGTAGATTAAGGAATTTACATTAATCTGATAAGATGAGAAAACGAAATTACGGAACGTCTAAGAGATGATTAGATTTATAGTACTCTTATGTATTATATGATATAGTAATATTATCATCTAATCTAGCATTATCCAATAGCATTATCAGCAGTGAGGTGCATTGATTAGTAACTTTAGACGATCGCTATTAATCTTCATTTACCTGACTAACGAACCGATATAAAAATGCCATTCACGTAATACCGGATGAAGCGATAGTTAATTGACTCATGTGACTAACTTGTAAAAATCTTATCTTATGTAAACGAGTGTGTTTATTATATCATTTGTTTTAGAATTGTTTCGAAAGAGCATAACAATTTCTTCTGAAAAAAATTGTGTTTTTGCGTTGGGTCACTAGAGCTTTAAGAATGTGTTCCTTTTATTAAAGCAACGATGATGTATAAATTTTCCTATAACATTCCTTACTTTACTCTCTTAAAGAGAGTAGACCCATTCCCGTATCAGTTCGACCTTTAAGCCTTCCTAACAATAGTCTATTATCATATATCCTTTGTCCTTATATACGTAACCGTCATCCTAATGTAACATGAGGATGAATATATGAAGAGACCATGACTCATTATAAAATTCTGTATAACTGTGAATACTTCTGTATAATATGGAACACAAATAAATAAATAAAAATTCGTGCGAAAATATCATAGTAATACCACGCTTCCGTTCGCTCAATTTCCAAAAGATAAAATTATTCGATCCGCGAAGTGCAAGCACTTTCCAATCATATGAATAAAAGAAACTCCACGAGGGTGTGGTTCTTCAATTCTTCTAGAAAGAGGAAATGGAACGCATAATTTTTATTTAAAAATTCCAAAGAATTATGATAACTAATACGTAACATAAAATTGTATTCAATGAAGTGTTAAGTTAAATTATACATTCGTCCAACTATTACGCCCAAAATTTTCTCGTTTTTAAAGCTGAAAGAGTAGATATTGTCCGCCGTGACAGTGTGTCTTACATCTTTATCCATGTATCACCAAGATCCAATACTTATCCGAGCAAATAATCCGTGAGTAACGTTCAAAGGAAACTAATTTTCCGTTTCGACGTCAATCAGTCGTTAAGAACAGTCTGATGAGAAATTAAATTGCGTTTCTAACGAACGAATTAAATTTGTAACGGAGCGTTTACGTGACAAAATTCGACAACAAAACGTCGTTTCAGTGATCATGGCGCGATACCGCGAACGTAGCCGGCAATTAGCAGTGGTTATAATAGTAATTAATGCCGGCGTACTGCAGACGCAACCTGCGCAAGAATGTGGCGCGTGGACTATATGGACAGTCCTTATCGGTTCTTCGAATAATTTATTGCAGAGTACTCGCAACGAAAGTAGTAAAAAATTCAAGTCGTGATAACTTTCATCGCTCAATCACGTCTAAATATAGCTTCAACGATAATCAAAATGCAATGTAATCGCAAACAGCTGGAGGGAGTGAGTTACACGTGCTGCATGCGTCACATTTTACTCATGATAACGAGACACATTTATATTACAAACGAAATGAAAATGACAAGAAGATTTTTGTGCGTATATTTGAAACAGTAACGATGTTCTAATACTAGAATTACCGATGACTAAAGAGTAAATTCGTATACGTGGATGTATGTAACATGTTTACATACTTTCAATGTATAAAATTGAAAAAATGAAAAGTGGTCATTTCAAGCATTCTGGTAGTTCTAGCATTAAAAATGGCACAGCAGATCCTTCGTTCCACATGGTATCCATATTTGATTAGGACACTAGGGAATACATTGTATTTACGTATGCGTCGTGAGTGGCGCCGGTGGAATTTTGCAGGCACAATTTAACTCGCCTTAATGTTAGAACGACAGTTTTAACTGCTAATGTATATTTCAAGGCCTGTTGTTCGTGTATCATTGAAAAATGCACTAATTTTACAATATAAAAAAGTACATCACTTTAAAATGTAACGTCAATTCTTACAAAAACATTGCTTTTAACTGGGAAAAAAATTTGCAATATTTAACGGAACGTAATCGTTCGATACGTGTTGACGAGTCGTTTTAATACGTATTGTACTATATACATATGTAGAGCTGTAGGTATACAGGAATAATGCATGTCAACACTCACGTTTCGGTAGCTTTTTGTTGTGATCAGGGTGGAGGAAACACTCAGCACGCGGGACACCTCATACCATTTGACGACGCACAGAGCGCGACAGCATACCGTAGCCATCCTTTTCTTACGTTTCTCCCGCGAAAAACGGAGCACCACGCGAACCAGTAACTCGAAACCGTTCTTTTTCACGAGTCACTAAACACTAAACACTGAGAACACGAGCAACCGACGACTTCAAACGACTACCTACGACGATCGGGCGGCATCGCTTGCCGGCTCGTCCCTGCGGCCTGAGACCCAGACCTTGCGGCGGCCAATAACGTGACATGCGCGAAACGCGCTTTGTCGTTTGCCATTGGTTTGCTAACTTCCGACCAATCGCTGCTCCGTGTATTCATCCGCGCGGCATATATTGAATATTTGAATCGCTGTTCCGCGCATTTCGTTCCTATTAAAAATATTCAAAATATAATTTTAGTAATAAATAGATATTTCTCAATATATAATGACTCATGAAAGTATGTGAAGATTTTTTATGGATATACAATGTTATATGTGTTGTACGAAGCATTACGAAATTTTGTCAGCACTGCAATGAGATTTACAAACACGACTAAAATTTGAAACGATATTGAAGATTACATATAACAGATATATTTTACAAAGATACGCGTACAACATATTTGTAAAAGCTTTTTATGGCAAAAATTGAAAGAATTTTCATGAATCTATATTTTGTATATACAGACTAACCTAAAAGTTATGTTCTTATAGTTTATATCCTATAGTGGTTATAAAGAATATTTGTACATACCTTTATTTTCCAATTAAAAAATTCTTTATCAGATTCCGTATTTGATTCTCGTTGTATTAAATTTCTACGGTCACACGAAGCGTATTATTAAATGATACGAAACTTAATATGTAATAAATATAACAACACAGTGATGATTTCGGTAGCCATTGTGGATGTTATCGATAGTTCATTTCACGCTGTCCATACTTTCGATTAATCGATAGTAACCTGCAATATGAATGAAGATCAGTTACGTCCAGTTGGTGTTAACTTTGACATTTGCTTTAATCGTGCAAAATTTATAATTAATTTATGTCTCGAACGTCAGAGAATCAGAATAATATTATAACTACTTTTTTGATAATGTGATCACATCGATTTCGATCGATTACTTACCGAGGGTATGTCTGATGACGATTTCAACTACAGTTACTACTATTACGCAGATTTTAATGGAACTGAAAAAATAGACATAACCTTAAATACTTCCTCATGGCTGAGTCTTGTTCGTATTGTTTTTGTTATCTTACTACGTGTTGGTTTCGTCCTCATACACATTGGTAGCGTACCAATCAACAATGTCAACTTGATTCTGTTGCAAAATATCATTGATTTTTGCTGGGTAACGATAGTCTACGCGCTTGTTGGCGTTGTCATCGCCTACACAGGCGATATACGAGGTTTGCTGGGCGGAGGATACTGGATCGGTGATGAAATCGTCGATAAGGATGAAATCATAATTGGTTGGTCGGCCGTGGTAATTGCTGCTGCAATTCTCACTTCTGGGATCGTGGGTCGGACACACACCGTCGGTTATCTTGTCGTGGGATTCTTGTTGGCTGGATTGATGCAACCATTTTTAATTCACTGGATTTGGACTCCACAAGGATGGATGCGAACGAACGTATTACAAGAGCGAAAAGTGCATTTCCACGATTGCAGCGGTTCTGTAATTGTCCACCTTACCGGTGGATTATCAGGATTGATAGGTTGCATGATACTTGGACGAAGAATACTTCGTCTGGATGCTATAGATGCCGCGAGCATCGCGATTGGCTCCGCGGGAACAGTTTTCGCTGGTCAATTATTCGTGTTCATTGGTCTGCAGGTAACGTCATCGAGAAGTTCAATTTTTGAAATTTATTTCCAAACTTACATAAAAATAACGTATTATAAAACATATATGTCTGTACTTTGATTGTTTAGAGTCTCGGTATATCGAACGTGCAAGTGCAAAAATTCAAAGTGAATAGTAAAAGAGAGTATAATGTCTTTATAAATAATTTATTGGCCGGATGTTCGTGCAGTCTGCTCGTCGTGGCTTTCCATTTTTTGTTACCCCGAGAAGAATTTAATCACTGGACTGTAATGAGATGTGTGCAAGCTACTGTAGCCGGGCTGGTGATAATATCTGCTGGAACGGATATTTACTCTCCGCAGGTGGCAATCAGCGTGGCCACGACTGGAAGCGTCATTTTTTACGTGGTCTCAAGGCAAGTATTTAGAAGTGCGCTTGAAGATTATTGTAACATTATAGCTATTCACCTGGCCTGTGCTTTTTGGGGGAGTCTCCTCGTCGCTTTTTTTCGCATTGACGCACAAGACGACATAAAGGCAATTTTATTAAACATATCTTGGCAACTGATCTGTTTAATCACAGTAATTGCATTTGTTGCAATCGTTATGTTCCTTGCCTTCGGTATTCTGCAATATACCGGTTTATTGAGAAACAGATCGGAATATTTGAATCACTTGAGAGCGAATGTAGCCGAAGGTAGAGCCGGAAGGAAGTCATTCCTAGAAAGGTTGTTCCATATAGATAGAGATGCCGTTTATCTTCAACCAGGAACGAGTTTGAACGACTGAAGCTGCTACATAATAACAGGGGGTTTCACAGGCCAGGTGAGTTTCAAGAGCTTAAAAAATGGTTAATTTATGTAGAACGAACTTTTGTATCAATTGATCCAATTATACATATATATCGATTGGAGCAAGAAAAAAAGAGAGAATTTTATTTTATGTAATAGAAGTGTTGGAATATATAAAAATGAGAGAAAAGTTATGGAACATTCGATATCGAAGATTTTTGACTTTTGTTTTATTAGAACTTACGGACTATTCATACAGTTATTACAGTATTTTACAATAGAATAATTTTAAGTTAAATAATTCAAGATTCTTATTAAAGTCGTACACATATTCTACACGCGTCTTTCTTTATTCGTACAATGATAGCTTTTCTCTTTTTTTTTTTTTCGTTTGCATAACAGTCTGTTAGAACATCTACAAAACGTTATCCTCCGCGCTTTCGTAATTTGTAATTCAAATGCATGCGAAATTTAACATTAGCAATATTTTATCGCTGGTTAAATTCGAATAAAATATTAGACTGGCTCGCACAATAATTATAGATTACTAAATGAAATGAATACTAATTGTCTAACAATTATAATTTTAATCGTAATATTTAAACAAAAAAGATTAAGATAATTTTATCAATCAAAGTTTTATCTGCTTCCAATAATCTCTTATCCTAAAGAAACATTCCTGATTTAGCGAAACCAACGATGAAGTAATGCTAATTACAGAAGAAGCTTTTAAACGCTCGTACTCGTATATCTTTCTATGATTTCTTTTGCCGATTCCTGTCTGTCACATATTATTGTCAGCTGGCAGCAAATCGGACAATTTTTGCTACCGCCATACCGAACAAAATTGGTTAATATTGACTCTAGAGATCCGACGCCGCGATTGGTACAACAATACAACTGTATATACAACACTGGTAAAATGGCACGATTTGACAAAACGGATCAATCGCTTAGTGTTAATATCGTTATCGTTAACTATTATTATATTAACAATAAACTTTGTACATGATTCGTTAAACGTCACGTGACACAGTTTAAAGGCAGTATAAAAATGAAAACAAAATATAACATAAACATTGATAAGTTTGCATGACAAAATATAAAAGGTTTCATCAACGACGCATGGATTTTTTCAAAAATATATTTCACAAAGAATGATGTCATAGTTGCTCATTTTTGCCTAGATGTAGGTTTTGTAACGTATATCGATTGTTTTTTTTTTCCCCAAAATCATTAGATAATTACACTTTTGGAAAAATATTTATGCTTACACTTAAGTGCTACTTACACTTAAGTAATGAAAATTGTTCAAAATGAGATATGTTTGTTGTAATTTCTAGATTAATAGTAATATCAATATTCAAAAGATACTAAAACTGCATATCAAAGACGATTGAGTGAAATTCAACGAATTAGATCAATTCGTGAAGGAAATAAGTAAATAGATTAAGAAAGATAATTGTAACTGATATGCTTTTAACAAACGATAATCGTTAGACTATCTTGTGAATATCAAGATTTTATTCACAACAATGCATTCTCCGTTTCCACGACATTCAATTCGCTATAATACACATCAGGTATTAAAGTGTTTAAAAATCACCCGATTATCTTCAACAACGAATGATTCTTCTAGTTTGGAACAAAGAACTATCATTAATCCAGGATAGATTTGTGTGCCTTAAACGTGACAATAGCAGTTATTGCGAGTAGGCAGTTATCACTTCTCCACGTAAAACCATCACCGAAAATGATCGCCAATGATCATTCTTATAGTTTCTCCTTTCTTTTTTCTTTTTTTTCCTTTAAATTTTATCTTATGGTACACCTACGATCACATCAAAACAGTACGATACATAAATGTACAAACGGACGCGATCACACATTTTTCATCGACCTTTCCATCGGCGGTACCAAGAATAGTATTGTCAAAATATACATAGAATCATCATTATAGCTTTTTTTCATTTTTGCTTCTTTTTTTTTCTTTTAATACACTTACACAACGAGAATTAATGTACATCGTGTCTCTGAGAGAGCAAGTGGGCGGGAAGAAATATCTCAAAACCCCAAAATATCTCACACTCGCAGAAACGTTTCTGCAATTAGTACCAGAAGTAAAGGACTGACAGATCGTCGATTCAAATATCAACGCACTCGATCTATCCATTGATCACTTTCATGAGGAAATAAATCTCTTCAAACATTGCAACACGATTTGGACAGATCTCACAAAAGTCAAGTATCGCCTTTTTCCAAAATACCGTTTCTTCTTCTTCTTTTGCTTCTTCTTCTTTTTGGTCGCTTCTAATCTCACTTGTTAAAGCATTCTCTAACCTTCTTCTCTTTACTACTCAAGTTCCAAAAGAACCGTTTATTCCCGAGTCGACAACTTGTTCGTGATTATCATTACGCCAAAATGTGCGTTTGTTCGTGGTCTTTTTTGATTCTATTAAAATATTCTCGACTTCGCAGTCGAAAGCGAAAAACACGTTGTGATTTAAGATCGAAGACAAAATTTAACTCGAGCATAAACTAGGAGTCTTTTCTTTTTTTTTTTTTTTATTTGGTCTTACCATTTGTCTTTAGTAGTAAAGATTAGAACGAAAGGCGTCCAATCATTATAGACGGATGATGGCACCAGCGAGCGAGCTGTACTCTTAATAATCATGTTCTCTACGACGCAACAACGATGACAATAATAATTATAACGTTAATAATAGTGCTATTGGCTTAACAACGATCGACAGTCACGGTCGTGTTCACCGTGAAACCGCTTAGTGACTAGTTTCGCAGGCTCCCCAACGATCTTAGGCCAAACCACCACTGGGATAGGCCACTTGTATGGTCCTTCCATCGAGGATTTGGTGTCCAGTGGAATACAATCGACTGTACAATTATTTTACAGATCTTCAGCTAGTAACCGATGAACTTCGTTCACCGTTGAAATAAACAGTTCAGAAACGGTATCGTTTCATATAATCGACGTTTGCTAGGTCATCACCGTGTCGGTAAGGTCTTCCTTCAGCCATTGTGGGATCGTCCTCAGCCCGAGACGTTTCAATAATTTCACTAGGGCCGTATTGTGAGACAGATAATACCTCTGTAAACAAATGACATTGTATTCGAGAGATCATCCTTTAACATTACGCCTGCCTCTTCTTCCTCCTATCTCGCTGTACCGTACCTGCAATAATTTGTACGATTTGTCCTCCATCGGAGGATATTGACGGCCTTTGCTCTTGCCGAGGCATTTCGTACGATCCTCGTTGGTAACCTGACAAAAGAAACCCTTTTTCGGGTCGTACCTCAAGTGGGACGAGTAATTGAAAGCAGGCGTGATCTTGAGGAACCTTTGTAGCTCATGCAACGTCTCCACGGGATTTTGACGGAGCTGTTCCCCGTCTATAATGTGCAATTGCTGAGGTGGATAATAGGAGAGCCACCTCTCCAGATGCTGGGCATATTTGCCGGGATTTAAACATCTGTAACAGAACTCGAGCCAATGATATTTGCCACGCTTATCTTCCCCGCGTGTAATTAATATTCCACCGTAGACATAGCCTGGGCACATTAACACACACGGCCGAACCGCATTAGCAATTTAGATCCTACACTCGTCTACACTCTGTACGGCTATTACGCGGCAGGATAATGTTATTATTTGCATTCAACTATTCAGGAACTTTCAACGACTCGTTATTCTAGCTCGGCGGTGCATGTGCCCGTGCTTCTGCTCGTAACGAACGGAAAATTATTCGCGCACTTGCAGAATGTTTGCAACCTACCTATTCCTGAGATCGCGTAGGGGTTTCGGTGCGGTATCGCTTGCGGTGATAACCGAGTGAAAGGAATAATTATTTGCTACAGGGTCACCGTGGACCCTCGTGTGTTGGTACCACGAGTAGGCACGCCTGGCTGGCGAGAGCAGTATAGTGATCAATTTTGCTCTCGGTAGTAGCGCGTGAGCTCTACGCGGTACCAATTCGCCGTCGAAATAGGTGGCCGATTTCTCGAACAGATAACGTGAACTCTCGTTCTTCGACGCTGGAAAGAAGCTCATATACCTGCAGAGGAAACAAAACGATAATCAATCGTGATTCACACAGAGTGTGTCTGAAATATTTCCTCGAAACGAAAGATCGGACTTTGTTTTTGCCCCAAGTGTTTCACTTACCAATCGAGGCCCTTGTAATAATTCTTTCCATTAAAGAATTGAATCTCCTCAAACGTGTCGGGACTCGGTAAATTGCTGCTTATCGCCGGATGAATGGACAGGAAGGTGTAGAGAGCGGTAGTGCCAGTTTTTTGAGGACCAATTACCAGGAATCTCGGCAGTTGATCGCAAGTTTTATTCTTCGACCAGATCTTTTGATGCCTCAGATCATCGCAGGGATTCTTTAACACGAACAAGTTGTAATACCTTGTACAAAACTACCATCCGGGTACAGTGTAGCAACAACTTACGCCCCATACAGGATCAGATTCTTCAGGATAGAGCTGAAAGTATCTCTCTGCGAGTTGAAGAGGCGGCGCGCTGGACAATCTCAGGTTCGTCCAACACTGTATGAATTTAATCACCGACTCGAAAGTGTACAACGCCAGACGATCGTTCCCGTAGTTTGACATGTGCGTCATAAAAATATTGATCTGAAAGAAGAATCGTGAAAGAGCAAAGAGAAGATCTTGGAGAGGATGGACACGGATATTGGATTACCCACAGGATTGTGAACGATAGTCTGGAACAATTCTCCACCCTGTATCGATTTGTCCAGCTTCTCCCTGCCGCCTGGGTATCTATCGATGAAGATCGTGTGTGTGAAAAGGCCACAGGTTTGCCTCGGTAGGACCTTGGTCGAAAACAAAGGAAGAAAGATGGTCACGCGTTGATCGTTTAATTTGTCGCGGTTCCCCCCAAGGGAAATCAATCGTTTATGCCTCTTTATCTGCTCGATTGACAGTTCAAGTGGAAAAATTCGCGAAACGAAAGGTGTATCATTCTCTCTGTATCGAATCGATTCGTTGCATCGAGATACAAGGCAGAGAGTAGTATCAGGCCTGTTCTCCAAGGCAATGTTCGTGCAAGTTTCGACGAAAAGTCGACATACAAAGCAGTGAAGTTACGAAATTACCGATTCATTCGTTCGTTCGTTCGTTCGTTCGTTCGTTCGTTCGCGTATTCGTTTATTGCTTTTGCATAGTTTCCAGAGGCTGGCTGCCGACCGTTAACGTCAAAGAATTGGCATGTTTCACGTACCGCCGGGCATGCTCGAAAAACAGAGAGGAAAAATTGCTTAACTCGCGGGTTCGGTTATTCAGGCTGGCTCGATTTAATGAAACACACTTGCGCAGACACCGGTAACTGAAACTTTTTATATTAAATTTTCTTTCCGATTAACGAAAAACGAGAAAGAATCGAAAAGAGCGGGAAACAGCGTGCGTGTGCAGACAGACAGACAGACAGACAGAGAGAGAGAGAGAGAGAGAGGTGAACTTTAATCCTCCCCAGAGTGAAATTTCAGTGGATTTCTAGTTTTTCCGAGGCGGCGGAACTTTCGAAAAATATTGATCATCCGATTTTACACTGATACTTTCTGTAAATAAAACGATAGAATCTACCAGTGTACAAAGTATCTAGTACCAGTTGATACACCGATTCTGCTGGTGTATTTTTTTTCCTTTTTTTTAAGCATTAAAAGAGCGATTGAGGAAGATTTACCATTATATTACGATGAATGAAACCTCGCCTTAATCGAGCAGGCCTCAAATGGGGATACTCCTCTGTGCTGGTGACTTTGATGTTCCACACCCTTTTCCATGCCTCGTACAGACCCTCGTGGACCGGATAAACGCCGGAATGATGAGGACTCACGCTGTAGCCGCTTCCAGTTGGGATCCCGTGGTCTTTCGCGAACTGTTTGTTCAGCGCCATATCCAGTTGCAGGTGCGTTACGTTCTCGTAGTTATGAGGCTGTTGATGATTCCACATGTGGGAAAACCACGTAAATCTGCGATTTAGGAACGCAAATGTCAGCTCTGACAGAGAGAGGGAGAGAGGGAGGGAGAGAGAGAGAGAGAGAGAGAGGGATTACAGAAAAATCTTTATTTTCATTCGCTTTCAAACCAAACCGAACCGAATCATATTTTTACGGAAGGAACGAAAGCGATCTATCGACTTCTATCGACAGTCAAATATATATATATATATACATACACGAATGATCTATGATTTTAATTGCTGCCGATAGGAAAGCAATTACTAGAATAAATCGCAACAATTGGCAAACAGGTGCGACTTCCGCGGTCCGATCAACCGTAACGCGTGCACGGTCTCAATACGTCAATTTGCACCAGCAGTGAATCTTTTTGCGCTCTGTTTATCGCTCTATTCGCGCGATATAACTATCTCGCCAATTCCATTTCCCTTTTCACTCCACGCAGCGTGACTGCGTCGCATCATCTCGTCCCTAATCCGAATCCAGTATTCACTTTCCAGTGATAAATTCGATCGTGTCGCTTTTCGCAATGTGATTAATCAAATTTACGTACAAGCGTAATTCTCTCAATTGAAAAACTGGCAAATGACAATCCCGGGAACACAGAACACTGTCGACGAGTCGAAGAAAGAACAAGACACGCATTTACCTGTCTACGTTCTCCAGAAGCATATCGTCCCCCAGATTCTCCTCGGCGGTGCCGTGATGGAAGTACTTGCCAGAAAACCCCAAGTTGAACTTGAACCCCGGTACCAGCGCTTGGATTCTCTGTTGTGTGGCCAACAACGCCATCACGTCGTCCTTTCTCAATCTGGTGCCCTTCTCGCCGACGAATATGTCGTCGACGTCGACCAGAATCATCCGATTCAGGCTGAGGCTCAACTGTCCATGGGACAGATAGGATAGAGAGTCGAGCAGCAGCAAATTGTGCAGCCAGAATCGCAATCCACCGCCGAAAAACACCCTCTGAATCCCGTCGTATCTGCCGTGATCCTGTATAATGAAAATCCAATATGGAATCGTTAAGGTTTATCGCGTTTCAGGCTGTTACTATGACTCTGGATCTCTGTCGTTTAGCAGACTTTGGCTAGACTCCTTTTATTTTTTCTTCTATTTATCGAAGGGTGGATGCAGGAGGGTGAGAATTAAACGAGCCAGCGCAAAATAGCTCGTTCACCGAGGGCAAGCTGATAACGCGGAGCCCGGTATTTAATATCGATCAAATTCCCTGGATAATCCTGGGCGCGTAAAAGAGACACGACAAATGGTGGGAAAAAAGGGATCAAGAGGGGGAGGGGGAGGGGGAGGGAGGCACACGCGAGAAGGGGGAAGGAGGATTTCCGTGGAAATTAAGATTCGATTTTTAAGCGGATTTTTCGATCGTTCTGGGTTATGAGAGGCCGTGAAACGCTAATCTCCTTTTAACCGCTTTCAAGAGCGATATATTCGAGATTATATCGTTCCCCCTGCTTCGATCGCTAGTCTCAATGAGACTTTATGTTTTATATAGGGTAAAATAAATCTATGTTTTTTCCTTTAAATAGAAATTTCGTGTCGCTGGGTAATCGTCTCAATCAATCTCGATCGAATCGTATTTTTCTATCGTTGGACTCATCTCATTGCGGGACATCGTATTGTTTAACTTTGTAGAAATTGCAATTGATCTGTTGAAAGAGGAGAAAACTTCCAATTATTAAAGTGCTAAAACTAATTAAGACAGCCTCTTAACCCACAACTTTGAAAGTTCGTACTGCATGCAGATTTCTAAAACTATAACTTTCAGGGAAACGAATGAAGAAATCGATTCTTTCAAATACCTACGTTAGAATAGTCTGTTGACGTTCCTCTAATCAAAACAAAATAACAAAATACAACAAAATAACTAGTTTATTTGTTAGTGATACACAAGGTATAAACATATCAAAGACGAATGCATTTTTAATTCGTTCTGCGACTCTTACTCGCTGTCAGACATTCAGACTTTTGGCAAATTTCGAACGCTCGAATGGTTAAATTGACAATCGAAAGCATAGGTGAATTAATGGAAGTTGTGCAAGAAACCTTTATCTCATCGATCAAACGATATTATTAAATTAAATTCTCGCGCAAAGAGACGAGTTACTTCAAGTGGCTCTCCTCCCCTTTTTTTCTCTTTCTCTTTCTCTCTCTCTCTCTCTCTCTCGCCTTTCTTTCACGGAAGTTCATCGACGTCGAAGACTCGGTTGAAAAAGAGAAAAGAAAAGAAAAGAAAAAAAAAAAACGCGAAACCGCCTATCGATCATCAGCCGGGCGTCGATCAGCCGTCACGTAAAGTGGCAATTGTTCATTGGCTGCGGTAAAATTACGGTGATCTCCTTCCATTTATTTTTCATCGGACGCGAACGACCGCATGCAACGTTAATGGGTTTGCGCGTTCGACGCGTTGATGCTTATCGATCGTGGCCGGGCGCGTGTGCAAGGGCGCGATAATTTCAAAGATGTTTTACTTCAACGCGTCCACCGACTACTCCGTGTAATAGCGCGTTCAAACAGCTCTATTTTCCCTGTGAACGTGATTTCACCCGTCGGTGAAATCATTTCCAAGAAAAACCCGCCGTTTACGTAACCCCTTTTCCTTCCCTCTTCGTTCGATATTGCAACGAACGCTGCGGGAAATTCTTTCTTTCTTTCTTTCTTTCTTCTTCTTTTTTTTTTTTTACTTTTGAAGTAAAGCACGCGCGCAGAATGTATCCGTAAAACAAATGATAAGAAACAACACGCGAGACACAGTAGAACTTCGCTTACGTCAACTTATCGAGAGTGGAATTTCAAGGTGTAATTGACTTTTCCATCGAATTTCTTTGTAAAAACAGAGCCAAGTGAAAAATCACCTATGATAAACGCGTGTTGTGGCTATTTATAGAATTGGAATTCGATCAGGCTCGTTTGCCTCGTGGAAAAATGCGCGATCCTTTCAATTGAAATACATTTCTATTCTCTTCTTGTTCTTCGTGTTGTTGAATCGTTGGCGCGAGTCATCAGTCTATCAAACGATCTACAGACATTAGTCATTTCGAATATTAAGCCGTGGAATACCCCGTTTGAATGGCTCGATTGGTCAGAGGAATTCTCCATCAAACCAGAAGGAATCCAACTTTCGAACCCGAACCGGACGGAGGTTCGATTCTTTCATCATGAAAGCGAACGTTTCCATCGATAATCTCCTTTTCACCAAACAAAGCGGACGTTTTATCAATCGAATTTCAAGCTCGTTTGCTTCGAACGTCCATAAAGAAACTGTCGAGACGTTGAAAGGAGCGATTCATCGGCGGCTTCGTGTTTCCCCGCCTCCTAAAAAAAAAGGATAAACAAACTCGGCTCGGTGATCGATCGCCGAGATTTCCGACACACGGACACGATTCGGAGACTTCGCTCGCTACTGTCGGATGTCGTTCCGCGACTATTTGTAATTCAAAGGCCGACTGACACGCTTTCGTTGTGAATCGCGCCTTCGCCAAGTACAATAGCTCGTACGTTGAGACTCGAGAAGGGATTTCTATTTGAATGGAGAATACTCGCGTATTTTTAGAAATATTTATTATCGGGTTGAGTCGTCCACCTTTGTTTATCAATGAAACGAACAACAATTATATCCTAGTCCAGTGACGGCGAACCTTTTTGAGAAGTAGGTCAAATTTTGTTCATTATTTTTTTTAGTACTAGCTCTTTTTAGTACTGGGTCACTAAGTCAGTGGCGTCACTTGGAAAAAGGGAGTGGAGGATGGTTAAAAACTACTTTTTTTCTGGTTCTCATTTTTATAATCCTCTAAAAAGTTTACGCTTCCTTTTTGTTTTAAAACTTTTACTTTTGCAAGTGAAGAGCAAAAAATAAATGTCGACGTCAAAAGATTGATGTAAAAGGGGTGACATCATGCCCAGTCACCCGTGCACTCTACATTAGATATATATACTTTATTTCTTAATATTTTTTATTTTCTGTCCTCTCTTTTATTATATAAAAAAACTAGCAAAGCTACCCATTCTGAGAATGGGATCTAGTGTGTTTTTTAGTGTTTATTACATTAGTTTAATCGTAAGCGCTATATAAAATTTTTTGGACACAAGTAACTCATACAACATTTAAGACTTAAAATACCTAAATGTATACATAACCAAGTCGTAAATCCTCCATAAAACACAATTATGCATTTATTTCACACTTTTAAGCTCTAACCGAACACTTGTAATTTTCTTAACATTTTTTGAAAAGAGGGGTTCGAAAAATAATTAAAATTCTCTTGATGATAAGTAAGATATATGATGATAAGTTTATAAAAATCAACGCGTGGGTCATTTAAAAAGCCCGCGTGAGTCTGAAGTTTGCCATCATTGTCCTAGTCTAGGACATATTCGCTATTACTTGCAATTACTTGTCATTTATAGAAAAAGTTGTGTGGCAGATCGGATGTTTTCACAGCGGGAAACATCGAAACGTATTTAACCTCTTGCGCGGACCATAAGGAGTGACCAAACCGTATACAATAACTCGTTTTCCTTTTGAATTCATCGGTATGTGTCACTGGATAGAAATTACCAAGAGGTAATAAATTTATTTTATAGTATAAGTATAGTATAAATTTGCTTTGCCTGCGTTATATTTCAATATACTTGAAAACTGAGAAAATATTGCAATTTTGGGCCAAATATTCTCAACGTGCGTGGCAAAAGGTTAAATATTGCATCACGAGGCCGGTTAATCGCGATTGATACGCTTTCGTGACTCGACGACGGAGACCAGCACATTTTAACGGAATATAGCTCTCGGAATATTTCCTATTATCGTACGAACGTCGCTCGTTCTTCCAAGAGATCTTGTCGTTCATCAAGGATGCGGCTCGCGGCTGTGAGCGCGTCCTGCGAGCGAAATATAAATTGCCAGCACGAATAGCGACAAACGAAGCGGGCTACGTCGATGCTCATTAATCGAATGAACCAACGGCTGATTGGCTTCTGATTTAATTACCTAGCTATCTGTGATCCGTGAATCTCTGGCCTAGCGGCCATGGCTATTTAATGGGGTTATCAGCGAGATTATTATTGTTGTTTACTGCTAACAAGCTCCGTTCATGACGACCGGTTACAAAACGCAAGCCGCTCGGAGAATTCCCTGTCTGGTTCTAGCGCAATTAACAAATTGCCTGTTAGGGATTATCTTGAACCGACGAACGAACACGCGCACGCGGAGATGTGTGTTGTACGATACACTCGATATATTCGTTCCGTGAATCGGCAAATATTCATTCAAGTCCTTGTGAAAAATATTGACGACAAGTCCTGCGATTGTTGGAATCATTTTTCTTTTCTATTGTGAAAGAGAATCGTACTGATCTGTTTCAGAGATGAATTGAAAGGAGTACCGGCAGACGATTAATTCTTTGATTTTCGCGAAGGAATTTCATACGAAACGCCTACTCGCAAGAACACAAGAGCTAAACTTTAAAAACTCGAGTCGCTTTTTTCTAGCCACCAGCGTGATAAATCAAACCGTGTTTCTGAAACACTCGTTAGGATCTATCTTAACGAGTATTTTCTCCAATACATTTCACGCCGGTCAGATTGACCAAAAAAAAAAAAAAAAAAAATTTTCCATGTTATCAGTTAACCTGGAACAACTCGCCTAACGAGCACGTGTAGATAAAGTTCACGCAGTGCAAAGTGTGGTAAAAAAAGAAAAGGAAAAAAAACGCAGACTGGTTTCTTTAGAACTAGGCAGAGGATTAAACTCAATTGCTCGCGAAACAGAAAAGATCTACGGACAATTGGACAGAATCGCCTATGAACTTCCCCTTGGGGAACTCTTTGTCGTCGTACGTCTACAAGAAATTCATTGTTGTTTAGAAGGGAGATGCAAGTCGGCGATAGGAAAGATTTATTATCGTCGTCCGGAAGAACTTAGCGAAACATTGCCATTCCATGTAGTAAACCGCTTCATTACACACAGTGGACTTCGTAAT